TTGCAATTTCTTTGAAAAATTTTGGTAAATATTTTTTATACTAAAAGTGAATAGATTTTATCGACTCTTATATTAAATATATATATAGGATATATAAAATAGATCTTATTTGTATTATTACTATATTATTTAGATTAACCAATATACGTGCCTATCGAGTCTTAAATAAAACTTATTTTCCATAATTATAGAAAAAAAAGAAAAAAAAATAGAAAAGGGAAGAAATTGAGAGAAAAAGAGATTGAAAGAAATGGGTAATGACTTTAGAAACATAGCCGTCTATGAACGATCGTTATCGAAATGAGGAAGTCGATTATTAAAAAGAATTATCCTAATGAGTATGTTAATAAGCGACAAAGTCGAGAAAGAAAAGACAGACAGACAGACAGACGACTAGAGAGAAAAAAAAGAAGATGGCATCTTCATTAGAGTTTTGTCCCTTCGAATGCAAAATAGTATTCCTTGGTCTTCTTGAAAAAAAAAAAAGAAAAAAAAAAAAGGAAGAAGAAGAAGAAAAAAAATTCTTCCGATCCGTTCGTTAGTTTCTCAACCTTCCTAAAAAAAGGAGAGAGAGAGAGAAAGAGAGAGAAACCGTTCACCAAGATTTTGCTCTATTTCTTCTACGAAAGGGATGAAAAGGTGCTGGAGAAATAAAAAAAAAGAAAAATTTGAGAGAAAATTGAAGAAGTGATCGATCGTAACTCGACTAATTAGAGATTAGGTCGTTATAAAAATATCGGATTGGAATGAGGATGGGTTAAAGAAAAGTAATAAATAAATTGGTGGCTGTTAGAATGAGAGAGACAATCGTAAGTTATCTCGATTCGATCTATCGATCTTGTTCCTATCGAATCTTGTTGCAAATGTCCCAGCCAGTGATCGCTTTAATCGTAATTTGTTTGCAAATGCGATTCCAACTGGACATCACCGGCTATGTAATATGTATATACGTGTGTATCTTTTGTTAGTGTATTTACATTATATGTACATGCATATATAGAGAGAGAGAGAGAATGAATACACGTGAATACAAAACAACAATTTCAGAGAATACGCAATAGGATCGATATATACGAGAATTCGTTGCAATTAATGGTAATTGGATTGATTGATTTTTCTTTTTTTTTCTTCTTTGAGAAAGAGAGAGAGAAAGAGAGGGAAAGAAAGAATGTTACATATTTAACAAAAAAAAAATAATACTCTTACTTTTTCTTTTACTTTCGTTCCTTTCCTTTTCTTTTCCTTATTTTTCTTTTTTTTTTCTTCTTCTTGCCCCGTTCTTTTTTATTTCGATATATTCGGTCGTAATTATGTCGTTTCTCATATAACACAGGGGAGTATAAAAACTGGTCTTTAATTTACGAGTTTTACGTGGTAGAGAAAAGAATTAAGGAGAAAATAAAAAAAAATACTTGTGCTTTTTTATTTTTTTTTTTTTTTTTTTTTGTTTAAATAAAGAAGAAGTATAAAAAGAAAAAGGAAAAAATAAGAATCTCGTTAACGGGATTAACCTCGTTAGTTTTGGTTTCGAAACGCGTACGTGCCAAAAATGATGAACGAATGTTTGCGCGCGCGCTTGGGAATTTTTCGTATGTATTATGCTTGTTGTAACGAGTCTTTCTCTAAAAAGGAAGAAGTAAAAACACATACACGATAGTTCCAACTATTTCTCACTTACGTTTCGTTTTCTTTCGCACGAGAAAAGTTTTTCACAATTCTTTTTGTTCATTTTTTTTCTTTTTTTTTTTGTATGAACCTTATTAGTCGATAAAAACGTTTACCAAAAATTGTATTACTGTCGAGAACTTTGTCATTGAATTTAAAACAAATTTTCTTTATGAGTTCGTTTTTGGATGTATTTGATTTTTATGATATTTTTCAACACTTGTCTAGACGCCGTGCGTTTCGAAATAAATAATTATTATCGCGTGTTGTATAAATTTGTTTCTTTTTTTTTGCTTCTTTTTACAAATTTAACGTAAATTATGGCATTAATTGAATATAAAATATATATTTAGAATTTTATTATATTAATTTAATAAAACATAAAAGTATATTTATTTGATTATACCAATGTGAATGAGATTTATTTTATAAAATATTTTTATACAAAAACAAAAAAAAAATATATATATATATAAAAAGAAGAGAAATTGGAAAACAACGAGGACGATCTTTTGTAAAAGAAAAAGTAAAAGTAAAAAAAACAAAACGTAATAGAAATTCGTTTCTGAATATTTTTCATTAGTAGGAACGGCTTAGAAAATGATTTCACATTAGAAGATCCTTTCGATCATGAGATTACAGAAATTGCTGGTACTCCTGGGGTAGATTTTCCATCGTTTTCCTACCTTCGATAGCCTTGGATTCTTTTCGTTTTTTTTTTCTTTCCTTTTGCTCGGTCGTTCGCTTAAAGGACTGTCGTGTTGAAACTGAGCGTTTTGCCGGTTGAAGATGGATCGAATGCCTTGACGATCGCATCCTTCTCTTTTCGGTTTCTCTTCTCCTTCTTCTTCTTCTTTTTTTCCTCATTCGAAGGACGATCAATAACGTTCTTCGTAATGATGGAAGACATATCATCCTAAATATATCTGCCCGTTGATTCCTTTCGTAAGAAATAGAAAGTAAAAAAAGTTAAAGAAAAAGAATAAAATAAAATAGAAAGAAGAAGAAGAAGAAGAAGAAGGGGAAAAAATAACAAACTACCAATCACGGGTCAAGATTATACGTCATTATATAATTTACGTATAATTGTTAAAATATTTTCTTTTTTAATTAACTTTTTGCTAATGCATAAGATTTGTAGAATACGGATGATAATAAAAGGCAAAGTAAAAAAACAAATAGAAAATACGTGTACGTACGTATTCGCGATGTTATTTTCTTAATATTTCTTCTTACTACTTCTTCATCTTTTTATTTTAGTTTCTTCTCTTTTTTAATTTATAAATCGTATCGAGATAATACACGTATTTTCTCTTGATATTTACTTTCTTTTTTCTTTTTCGTATTTCTTTTTTTTTTATCTCCATCGCACGTACACGTATTTGCGCATGCATATATATGAGTGCGTGTGCATACACACGATAGTTGCACGTTAGCATTAATGTTGACATATTTTCGCGTGCTCCTAGGATAGCAACGAAAAAATGTTTTTTTTTTTTTTTTTAACGGTATAGCAGGAGGTTATCATTTCCTCCAACACCCCTTCACCACCCCCCACCTTTCACCGCGGTGATGCCATTAGTTTCGACCGCGTAACAAGGAAATAGCGTGGGTTTTTCTGACAAGCGTTAAATTACAACCTTTTCGAACTGCTGATGGGAAGGATGGGTGGAAAGGGATGAGGAGGAGGAGGAGGAGGAGGGGAAGGGTGGTAGGGTTTGTTGCCAGACGAACGAACTCATTCTCGTTTGCGATTTATAACTGGGAGTGGACTGTCAAAAAAAAATTCTATTCATCGAATGGTGTGACCTCTTTTGAAATCGTTCAATTATATTACCAAAAATCATCGCATTCTCGTATGGTTTTATTTTTTTTTTCTTTTTTTTTTTTTTGAATGAACGAATAAACCAAAAAAAAGAATATATAATCTAGGAAAGAAGACAAAACCGACAACCCCCTCGACAAATGTCGAAAAATGATGATTCGAGATCTGATCGAATGTGTTGAAAAATATTTCGCGTTAAATAAATAAAAAAAAAAAAAGCATAGTAGTTTCCAGTATTACGAATCGTTCGTTTAGGTATTGAAGACGAAAAATATGAAAGCTCGAAAGGAAAACGCGTTTTACGATCGATTTGGGAAAAGGAAATTGCTAGTCATCGTGTGATTTCTTTTCCTTTTTTTCTTTCTTTTATGGAAAGAAAATAAAAATCAATCGACAGTCCTACAACAATAATGGGATTTTCAATTTGATATAAAATCCTCGAAATGTTTAACGTATTATTTGAGAAGAGATAAAGTTGATTGGTTAAATCTGTTTGCTCAAAGAAACAAAAAAAAAAAGAAGAAGAAAAAATAAGGCCTTTAACAATTACGAATTATCAATGTGATATATCAAATCATTGAAATGTTTAACATTTCATTTGAGAATAGATAAAGTTGGTTGATTAAATCGATTTGTTCAAAAAAGAAAAAGAAGAAGCAGAAAAAATGAGGCCTTTAACAATTACGAATTATCAATGTGATATATCAAATCATTGAAATGTTTAACGTTTTTCATTTGAGAATAGATAAAGTTGTTTGATTAAATCGATTTGTTCAAAAAAGAAAAAGAAGAAGAAGAAGCAGAAAAAATGAGGCCTTTAACAATTACGAATTTTCAATGTGATATATCAAATCATTGAAATGTTTAACGTTTTTCATTTGAGAATAGATAAAGTTGGTTGATTAAATCGATTTGTTCAAAAAAGAAAAAGAAGAAAAAGAAGAAGAAGATAGGGGAAAGATCGAGGAAAGTTAATCCTTTTTTTTTTCTTTTTTTTTTTGTCGATTGATTGATCGATCGATCGGTTATAAAATAGGTGCGGAGATTTGCACATACCTGGATACCTAGGTATCTGGCTAACTCGAATCAATATGGGATGCATAATGAAGTCTATCTAATGTGAACGAATATTGACCATTGTTCGTTCTACGAATAATACTCGAATGATTAGATTCTCATGTATGTACGTTGTTCGATCCTTCGAACTTCCGGGCAGTTGATTTCCCGTGTCGCGGAATATTCGACCGATGTTCCGGAACGTAGACACAGTTTCGAGTGTTCCTATCGAATGAATTCAAGCATGCGTTTGGTTGATTCGTTCCTACGTTAATTCGTTCGTTCGTTCGTTTGTACGTTTAATTGGTCAAATTAACCGTTAAGATGAAGAATATGTGAAATAAAAATCGCATAGATATATAAATGGAAAGATACACAATTAATTTCAATTAGAATAAAATCGAAAATTGATGTTTCTTTAATGTGAATGAAAGAATGAAAGAAAGATAAATTAACTAATTAAATGTTTTTATTTAGTTTATTATTATTTTACTAATTTTATACTATTTTTTCTTATATTTCTTTCTTGCTTTATTAAAAGTGGAGAAAAAGAAAATACTTCTTCGTTAGACTCGATGATACTGCTACTTATATTACTAATTTACTTAAATATATATATATCTCGAGCAATTCTATCTTTTTAAGAGAAATATTTAAATTAGAAAAAAGCATTCGTCTATTTCGATATAATAAAAAAAAAAGAGAAAAGTAAAAAAAGAAATAAAACAAGTTGTAAGAAATTTCTTATCGGTCAGGTATGATGAATTTTTTTCTTTACGACAAGTAAGTTGGTTAATAAAAAAGAAAAGTTAAAAAATAAATCATATCCAGAGATATTTCAAATGGCGAGGAATAAATTGATCGTAGTATTGATGGAATATTAAAGAAAATCAATAAATTATTGATAATAATAAGAAAAATAAAAGAAAACAAAACAAAAATAAGTTAAAAACAAATTAGAAATTAATTCGATGGGGAAAATTTGATGCAACTCGATAAATTAGATTTAAACAATCGACGAATAAAATAAATAATAACAAAATAATTCGAGAAATAGTAATACAAACGAAGTAATTATTAAACTAACTAACTAATAATAATATAACAATAAAATATTATCAATTCAAACAGGAAAATAAAAAGAAAGAAAGAAAAAAAGAAAGTAAGAGAGAAAGATTAGGGGTTAAGTCAAGAAAGCAGGTTAATATCAAAAGATAATGATCAATCAGCTAGGATAATTGATACAGAAGCATAGGTTAAATCGATCTAGGTAGGGATTATCGGTCCTTTAATCGGCATGGCTGGTGCAGTGCGATTTAGTATAGCGGATTGCACCGTATACCAGAGTGGGAACTTAATTACCAGATACGGATGCCAAATCCTGGTCGAACGGTTCGTAACCTGGAGAATAGTAAGCATATATATATATATATATATCTTTCCTATTCTCTACTGAATTTCTCCCATATATTATATATATATGTGAAAATATTTAGTTAGTTTTAAAACTTGACTTACGTAAATATCATATATTTTTTGTTTTTTCTGA